CGGGGTGCGGGGGGCGTGCGGGGGTCTGACCGGGTCTGACCGCCCGGCACCGGCCCCTCCCGGCACGAGGCGCCGAGCATCGCACCCCTGAACGCGGGTTAGCGGGGGAGAGGCCGCGGCTCTCTCAGGGCACCTGGCAGCCGTCGGGTCCCAGGGTTTGTCCTCGGTTACTCGGGGGGATTTCAGGAGCGAGCTCGAGCGAGGCAGCGCGAAACGAAATCTAGCTGCAGGGAGGGATTGCACCATCCCACAGGGCTTTAGAAACAGGCCGGGGGACGGTCCCCAAGGCTGCAGTTGCTGTTAAATTACACGCAGCGCAATCTTAGCTGCAGTTCTTTTCCCACTAACCCGTATTTCTTTTTTTGGCCAGATTCCACTAATAAATATTTAACACTGTTGGACGTAGTGAGAGTCCTGTATTGAAAATGGATCAATATGATTAAATGCTTGATCTGTGAAGTGATAGCAACCTTCTAAGTAAAAGGGACACAGCAGCAGACATCGAGTTATCTCCGTCCTTTCCTCCCCTTTCTCCTTCAATACACAACCTGTTCCTCTTCCCAACTGAAAGGGCTCAAACCAATGAATTTCTGATTAAGCCTAAACCGAAAGTTTTGCTTGTGTTTGTTTCCCAAGGACTCCTGAACTGTTTTCCCTCAGCCTTTTTGTCTAGGCAAAATTAAAATACTCCCTATATAACTCACTGATACCAGACTCAAAGCCCTCAGTGGGCACTTGGGCAAAATAAGGTAAGGGGAACGCAAACAAAAAGACACAGAGATACCGTCTAGGGAGGATGATCTTGCCAATTTAGGAAGAAGACACCTGGACTTCACAGCACACGCTCTGGAAGGAGCAGACACTGTCAAGACCACGTATTTCTTCCCTCAACAACCAAAGACCCTCACTCTATTTTCCCTGGGCATGCTCGGACTATATAAATGAATTCTGGGAACTCGTTATCATAAGACACCCTTTTCCAGGAAATCTAATGAACATGTATGATTTGTCTGTATGTAAACTGATGTCCCTTGCTAGTTCTGGGGGGTCCTTATGGTGGAGAATCCCCAGGGCAATCCCAGTACTGCTAATAAATGCTTAACACTTCTATTGGATTCTGACCGTTGAGTGAATTTCTTTCACAACAAACTCTTAAGCAGACCAGGCAGTTCACTGATGAGTTCAGAAATCAGCCTTCCCTTTCCTAAGGGCACTGATTTAAATTTCTCTCCTTTGACATCACTTTTCAGAAAAAAAAAAGTAGGAACTTAATAAAAATTCACATACTTTCTTAAATTAGGCTGAAATAAACATTAAAACATATGAAAAAAAAAATCCTTTTTTTTTTTTTTTTTTTACGATGAGAGTGGTCAAACTGCAACAGGCTGCCCAGGGAGGCTGTGAAGTCTTTGTACTCGAGTGTTTTGGGACACTGCTCTGAGGAGGGGGTTGGACTGGACAATCTCCAGAGCTCCCTTCCAACCTCAGCTATACTGTGAGTCTGCAATTCTGCTGGACTGTAAAAAAAACCCCAAGACAGTTCACATCAAAGGAAAATTAAAAGGGTCAGGGACCAGGTTCAGGGGTTAGGGCAGGGCTCAGGGTCAGGAGTCATGTAAACAAAAAGCTCAATGAATCTATGGCCTCGTCTCCTTAGCTTTCATCATTTATTCAGGAATGTAAGTACAATTAAGTGGCTTGGGTTATTTGTGTTAAAAAACCCACTCAGGAATGTAAGCAAGAGTATGGAAGTGTCACGTGGCTAACGATACTCTTCCAAAACGCATCAACTATAGTCCTACAAATATCCAAGCTAAAATACCAACCTCAGTGTTTTTTAACTCTGCGATTTTAAGTATTATAAAGAGAATTTGTATACAGAAACATTAAACAGCTTTCCAACAGTGGCCTTGTAACTCCTAGACACAACAGAAATACTTGCTTGCTAATAATCCAGGAGCTATGACCAAGATGCTTGTGTGTCAAATGAGAACGGACTGAGCTTACATTTATACAACTAATTCAACGTTTCCTTGTTTGGCAAGTTCCCCAATAGCCAGTTCTTTCAAGATTCCTGTTCTTGAGTCAGTGGCTTTCACATTCGTCTTGTTCATCTGTGAAACACTCACTGCTGCTCTGTAAGACAAAAGCAAACTATTTAGCAAAACTGGGTATCAAACATCATGTCTAGCAGAAAAAGGCCACAAAGCACATACTGTTCAACGAACGATTTTTGTGAAAGCTCTGTAAATCTCACGCTTATTCAGACTGTCATCAACATTTCTGTGCTACTTCAAACTGGGAACAGTCACTTGCGAATCCAACCTTAGGGGTTAAAGAGACAGAATTCCCGAGTTAAAAACTTCCTCATTTTTAACATCAGCCTGCAAGAAATCCGCAACACGCATCCCAGCCAGGGGTCAGGGCTCGGGGAGGCGGGAGGGGTTGGTGCGAGGAGGGCAGCGTTCAGGGGTCGTGGTTTAGCAGCAGGGCTCTGCTTTTCCAGTCTGGATGCAGATTCGAAAAGCTAAAGGAGTTTGGTGGTGTGACTGTGCCAGTAAAACTTTCCTGAATACACCCAGTTTGGGACATCTGTACAGTGACACCAAAGTGAAAAAATCTGTTTCTGAAGAACCTGAAATTCAGTTTTGAAAATGATCAAATCATACGAGCCATTTTTAAACAAATTAATTTAGAGGGTTTTCCCTCTAGAGGAGAAAGGAGAGGGCTTATTCTTTGCATTCTGGTATGGATCTAGCTGAAAGCACTGCACCTGCAGCGAAGGAAAAAGAAGGCTTTCCTGTTCTCAGGCAACCTACAGAGGCTGACAGCTCTGACAAGCTGAAGGCAGCTATATCTAACTCGCCTCAGCCAGAAATACAGCACTGACGAAAGAATCCCAGGGCCTTTGTGACATCCTTCCGTTCAGAGAACATCTTCAAAACACACTCAGTGACAACACAGGGATGGATACCAATTAAACTGGCCTCAGTAGCTGTAGGATACAGCTATATTTGGCATTGGGCCTGGTTTATGCCAGCTGTATGTTCAGTTCTTTAGAATTAAATAACGCAAAGACAGAAATTGAGAGCATTTATCAAGGTAGGAGGAAGATATTTGCAGGCAAAGAGGGAAGAAAGCTGCAAGATACCAGACAGCTTTCATGCAAACCAACTGTGGCAATAAAGGGACAGAAAGCGAAGCATCCTTTGACAGAAGAGCAGTGGGAAGTGAGAAGACATGCAGGAAAAGATACAGACATACGATAATCACACTCTATTAACCTTTTTAATATGAGACCCAGACCAAACCTCTTGCAGGTAATTATATTAGAGATTTGTGCTTTGAGGAGTTATGGAAAAATATATGACTTTTTAACAAGTCTGAGTTTACATCTACGTTCTACTGCATTACAGTTTGAATATATTGTTACTGATATTCCAAAATTTATTTATTTAATATTTTACAGGAAATTAAATTTCTCTCCATTTTGATACACATTGGTTTGAATCGATCATTCTTCACTCCCACCCAAAAGCTTCCTATATCATGAGTTAACAGAACAATAGGATCAACAAGAGCAACCAACTGCATCTCCGAAAAGAAACATGAACATCCCAGTTAAAAAATAAGGGGAACAAAGTCTTCCCATCACAGCAAATTTTTCCTTTGTGGACAATTTAATTGGAACAAACCATAAACTTTCATCTGTATCCAGTAAAAATGAAAAGGTTTGATACAAACTTTAGTCCTATTTCTGAAAAATTCCATTCATTTGAGAGGTATTAAGTCACTAAAACAAGCCCTTCTGACCTCAGCTGAGCTATACTCGGGATTAAGGGTTTCTGGAATACTGACACTCTGTGGCCTAATTACCTCTTCCGCTAGCGATTCCATTTCTTCAGCAGTTTGGCAGGTTAACTGCTGTGCTGCAGTCTGTTCTTCTTCTGACAGAGGTGAGCACTAGGAAAAAAAAAAACCAAAAAACACAGAGAACTCTGATACTTTCAGTTCCTAGGGTGATGATATTTACAGAAGAGCTCAATGTTTGTATAGCCCTCTTCTCATGGAAACTAATAGTAAACTGCTACTTTCCTTCAAATAAAAGCAAATTTACAAGCAAAGTATTTCTGAGAAATCCAGCCATAATATTCCTTTAACATCAATAATATAAATGATTCAATGGAAAGAAGATAAATTATTCAACAGAATGAAGTATTTCACTTAAACACTTATATTTCTCCATACCAGTTTAATTCATCTTTGGTTTAGGAAATACACGAAGTACAACAGAATCTTTATCTAAACAGTCTAAATATAACCCAAGAGACAAGAGTCTCCCACTTTAACAAAATGCAAATATGAAATTATTCTTGGCAGCGTACCCTTGGAACACAGGGAGAGAAAATATTTTTCCCTTTCTGTGACGTACAACTACCGTCTCTTAAACCATTATACAGTGTATTTTATCTACAAAGACTTGTCTAGAGTAACTTGTCTAGAGCTGTTGACAGATTAAACACAATCTCAGGGCACTGTCATTAGAATATTAAAGTGAGAGCCGAGATCTGGGAATGTGTTTTAGTCACACCAGTTCTGTCTTTGCCACTAGACTATCTTGCCACTAGCTTTTTTGATCTAAATCATATTATTTGTAAAGGGACAAAATTAACACTTTCTCAACCTCTTCAAAACTCTAATGAAGCAGCGTCTGAAGACCACTTATGAAAAGGTGGTTTTATTGGGGTTTTTTTTTAATAGATAGCCATTATCACACTGAGAAAAACCTGCCTCCTTTGTACTAACAGCAATTCCACCATGTATGTTACAATGCGTTGGCTTTAATTCACTCACTTCAGACCGTGAAAATATATTTGCTATTTAAAAGCTTTTTTTTGCCTTTTAAAATTGGTTTCACTTTCTAATTTCTTTAAGATGGCTACTTTTAAAAAAATGTCAGTATAAAACTGGGACACAGCTGTGCACAGAGGCATCAATTTCCATGAAACTATTTAAATGTGTGTCACGCTATTCACACTATTATGGTATTACTTCAACCCCAGAACTGAATACCACTAGCTTAACCGTTAAGCGATGAATCAGACTTGTGATTTACAAAAAGAGCTCCAATCTTGCAAACATTTCTTCAGGTAAATGGTCTTATCTTCTAACAGTCTGCACTTAGAACAGTTTCCAACAAAACTACCCCCATCTACATAAAGGTTACACAAATACATGTTCATTTACAGGAGTAAGACCCAAGTGATTGAAATACTACCTCAACATTTAACATGTTGATGTAATACCTGAACCACCTTCACTGTGTCCCCTAGAGCAGCACGGATGGCCTTCACGGACTCTCTCTGCTCTATGTAAATTTGTTCCAGTTGCATACATAACAGTTTATAACGAGATTTCACCACTGAGATTTCTTCCAAGAGGGCAATTGGATTTTCCTGTGTAGAAATTAAAAGGACATTCAAACTGTTTAAGAAGAGAAATTTAATGTGGCCACATACCAATTAAAAGCGTAGGCGTTAAAGACACTAAAACATACCACAAAATGACCCTTTACAATGAAACGTGTAGCTGTGAGCATCTTTCATCTATACATTTAATTTTTCATAGGCAAAAACGATAGGTAGTGCTAATAAAGCAGCGTAACTCTGTGATTCCACAACAAACACAGGAAGATGAATTTATTGTGTTGGTGAATTTTAATGTTTTTTTTCTGAGTTGGAATAAGTTAGGGTCTTCTGACTAAAAAGATTATTTTTCCACTATATTTTACAATATACATGGAGACAAGAACTTATTGCTAAAATCCTTTACGTGATGGCATTTCTTGTTTTCCTCTCATCTCCCCCCCAAATCTGAATTTAGTCATTGCTCATTAGCAAGTTCATCTTTGACCTCAGAGCAAGGGTGTATTTTATCTCAGATTGGAATCTGTCTCTTAAATTTAGGTGTTGACACTACCACTAATTTCTCAAAGCAGAACATGGGAGAATTTCACTAGACCAAGAAATCAAGGGGGTTTTGTTGGTTTCTGCACTGAATTCATATTAGGCCAGTTATCCTGATACGCGATGCAGGAAATACTTAATAAATACCTAACAACTAGATGAAAGAACAACCGCATATATTTTAGGATTAAAGAAAATTACCATTTATTACCAAATTCAAGCAAAATGCAATAAAATCTATTGATTTAATCTGAAATACTACCTCTGCTGCTGGATCATCAGGAAGACTCTTCATTATTTCAAACTCCAGTCTGTGTTGAATATAATCCAGATCAGATTCTGCCTTCTGGAACTAAAATATTTAAGGTCAGCCACAGTATAATTAAAAACCAAAATTTGCAGACAAAACCAAACCTTCCTGGTTACTTCAGGAAAGCAGAAGCCAGATGCCTCTGTTTTAAAGGCTCATGTACTATAAAAGTAAGTTTCTATTCCTCCAAACTAATGTTTGCTCATTACACTGACACACTTCCAGCCTGAAAAATATAAAGCAGTAAACTTTCAGACTTAACATAACCACATGTAAGAATTACACCTGTGTGTACACACACATACTTCTGTTAATTTTACCCTCTTTCCATTTGCCTAACCCAAATTGCCCAATTCTTCTCTTTGCACCTTTTGCATGCAGCTCCCCAAAATTCATCAAAAACTTTCCATCTCTTCCTATGTTATACGCCCTTGTAATGCCAAACCTCTCAAAATGAAGTTTTAAAGTAGTATCCCAGCTTGAAGAAGTTCTATCAATAGCACAAAACATGCCTCTTTTTTCAACTGATCTTCACTAGATGCAGGTGTTTGATTTTTTTAATTTTTTTTAATCCTGAGTTTTTAACATATTTTCCATCGCTTTTTACAGCTTTTTCTTGGTAGTTGCTTTTCAAATATTAAAAGTCATGTTAGCAAAACTGCAATACTCAGATATTTACGCAGCAGAGATTATGAATAAGTGTTCAGGATCCAGGCATATCAGCAGAGATTTTGTTATTAATTATATTAGGAAATCGTTCTCTCAGACGGTTATAATACCCATAATACATTTTATTATTCCCCAATAAACCAAACTGACAAATAGATAATAAAACTGATGACATCACATGTCTTTCCTTGGGATAAATAAGCCACCAGAGAATTATCTAATTGCCTTGTAAACCAGTCTGCTGATAGCATTATTATTTAATTAATTTTAGTCTGCAATTTTAATATCTATTAAGGACTTCGGCTTGAAAGAAAGGCAGTTTTCCCAATTCACAAACAACTCGTTCATTTTTTAAGGTAATAATTTGGTGATTTTACAGTCACAGACGAGACAGTGATGAAGGCAAGTTAAAAGTGCTTGTAACTTACTTCACTTGGTTTTCAGTGTTTATATGGAGATTAACCCTGATGTAACCATTACAACTTTTTTAACGATCAAAATAAGGCTCTATTTGTTAACCATACCCCAAAGCACTAAGTGCCAGTGCTGTAACAGTAGCTAAAGTGACAACCTTCAGGACTCTCTGGATGTAGCCTCTAGTCAGGCCTGGACACCAAAAGGATGCTTAAGTTTTTAAACGTCAGCCTTCGGGATCCACCTTCAGGAATTGCCATTAATACCTTGAGGATCTGGAACTTCAGAGAGCCTAAAGGAATAGTTTTAGATCCAAGATGTTCTACAAGTATAGTAGATGCAGTGAAACTGCGTGATGTTTCATACACAGACACACCTTCAGTAAATTTTTTTAATAATATCTTAAGGAAAATAAATCTAGTAAAGACCCTGAGCACTTATACAAAGGGAAAGCTTTCACCTGTCACTCCCATAACTTACCATCTGCCCAGCAAAACTCTTTCCCCCATCTAACCCAGAAACCAGTCGTGATAAAATGTCAGAACAAAATACTTTTTATTACACTATGTATTTTTAAAGAGTTCATGAGGGATTTTTTTCCTAACGGCTCAACCGTTTCTGTTCTCCTCCACTTAGCAATCATGTTTAGGTTTACATTCCTAGAGGCAGGCACCCCAGAAAGATAACTTTTTGCTTTTCTCCACTTCCCCCATTTGACTAATTTTTGGGAAGGCAGACAATGAATATGGGTGGCTTTCAAAATCATCCACAAAGCTCTGTTCCTGAAATACTTGAGATTTACAGAACGACCATAAGCTACTAATACCAGGCTACTACTGTGATTCAAGACAGTAAAAAGTGAATGTGAAGCTGAATGCTTATCCATCATGAGGCTGTAATTTTAAGATTTGTGCTTAATGAAAATATGAACACAGTTCAGTAGCACTGCTTTCTCCTAAAAGTATGCTAACTCTAACAGAATCCAAAATTATTATCAGCTGTTTCAAAGCATGTTTCTAAGCAAAGCCATATATTCCTCTATTATGGTTTATGATATTTTTCCCTTTGTTTTATAAATATTTATTTCTTGCTGTGTTTCAGGAAACATACACCTGCAAAAATCTCACCTTAGTGTTATAGGTTAGGACCACTGGTAGGATGAGTATTGTACAACAATCACAAGGAAAAAGCAGTTTGTGAAATGTAAATTTGTAATTTACTCACAGGCTCGGAAGAAAGAAACTGTGAGGGAAGACTCAAGCCATTGCTGCGTCCTCTGCTTTCAGATGCTTTGACAATACTATTGCACTGCTAGCTGTAAAGTACAGTAGTGCAATAAAGTCAGAGCATTCGTTAGCAGCAAGAATTCTGTACAAGTAATCAATACGCCTAAAATACGCTTTGGAAAAAAGAGGTCGAGTCAGATAGTGGTTTCTGTAGGTCACGGAGAATTGGATAAGGTTAATATTGTTCACCAAGTCCTGAGATAGACACACAAGAACTCACATGTTGATAATCCCTGTCATTCTACTGACCAAGAGGGAAAAAAAAAAAAAAAGACCCAACAAAATGCTCAACAGATCTGTCAGAAATTCAATTTCAAACAATTTGGTGTTCTTTTAACTGGAAACTACATTTCCAAATGTATTTCTTTTCTAGATTTGCCTCCTAGCAAGAAAAGATTCTAAACCACTGTCAGACAAATGTTCTTAAACTGCATTACAGGGAATGTTTTCCGGACACCGCAGTTTGTTATTCTCATCTGCAGGTGCTGAATCACTTTAAAATGCACTTAAACACGCACTTATTTCCCAACATTGTGGACATACATTACCGCTGGGGTTACCACATGGATGGCAGAGCACCGTGAAAGGGGTGTATTGCATAAATCTCAATGAAAAAAACTCTTCGGGTTTGAAGGCACGAGGATTCCTGACAACGAAAATGCAACGCAACCGAAGAACGGAGAGATGGATGATGGCTGGTGCACACAGAGCAACAACCTGAATCATCTCCACACATGTCCCATTTCTCTAGAACACAATGTAGGAAATAAGAATGCCTTGTTCCTCTTTGCAGGGCAGTTATTTCTAAGGAAACACACACGCAGACTTGATGGCATCTGTCATTAAAAGACCAATTAACGTTCCTCCTTGGCAAGCAACTAGAAGACTGTGAGCGCAAAAAAAAAAAAATGAGTGGCAATCCCATTTTACAGATGTTTTTTTTCAAACCGCCTTCTGGTCTCAGACGTACAACAGCGACTTTTGAGTGGAAAAACAAGAACAATGAGTAACGTAGATAGTATTGCTGGCCAATGCCCTTTTAACATTGCACTGCTTTTTGTGCACGATCACTAGTAGTACAACATAAAAAGGGCGCTGGACAGACACCGCTCAGCGAAAGAAGCAGGTCCACTACGCCAAAAATACGGCGACAGGTATTAACTAAGTTGCTCTCAGTGAAGCACTCTCAGCTCACCTGAGAGTTTATCTGTTTGTTATCAAATTTCACTAAATGGATGCCCACAACACTTCTCCCCGTGCAGGCTGCTGGAGTGCACGCTGGAAGGCACTAGAGCTCAGGTTGTGAAGTCCTGAGCATCAAAGGTTAATGAAACGGTTGTTTTGTATGGAAGGAGACATCTATCACCAGCAACTACCACCTACTCTACTTTCATTAGAGGCCTGACCCTGTGTCTGTTGAAGCTGTTGGGAAGACTTCCAGTCCCAGCAGGCTTCAATGAACACTTGTGCAGCACAGTCTCAGGTGCCTAAGTCCTCAAACACAGCACCTGGTATTCTTATTTAAATTGGTGAAAAATCAGCTTTATGATCTTTTGAGTAGCGAATCTCACCTTAGATTGTAGAAGTTATGGTTCATTCAGCTGTTCTTGCTACTGTACTTTGAGCAATATTCACAAATAACCAGCGATTACCTGGTATTTTCGTACACACTTTTCTTTTTAAGCTCCCACAAATTATGTTTATCCCTGGGTCTGCAAGACTAAAATGAAGCTTTCCATGAAATGCATGTCAAAACCTCTGGGGAAATAAGTGTTATTTTATCACACTTCTGTGGAGAGAGCTGACTTCACAGGAAATCCAGGAAGGAGAAACAATAAGCAGAAGGAGAAGCAAGACACTCAAAGCTGTGATATGTGAGACATAGTTGCCAACGTACATATTATGATCAACATAGAATCCCAGACTGGTTTGGGTTGGAAGGGACCTTAAAGATCATCCACTTCCCCCAGCCCAGGTTGCCCAAAGCCCCGTCCAACCTGGCCTTGAGCCCTTCCACGGAGGGGGCAGCCACAGCTTCTCTGGGCAGCCTGTGCCAGGGCCTCACCCTCCTCACAGGGAAGAATTTCTGCCTTAGATCTGATCTAAATCTCCCCTCTGTAAGGTTTTTTTGGCTGAACCCCCCAACTCTCTCAGCCTGTCCTCACAGGGGTGCTCCAGCCCCCTGAGCATCCTCGTGGCCTCCTCTGGCCCCGCTCGAGCAGGTCCGTGTCCTTCTGCTGTCGGTGCCCCAGAGCTGGACCCAGCCCTGCAGGGGGGTCTCACAGAGTGGAGCAGAGGGGGAGAATCCCCCCCTCGCCCTGCTGCCCACCCTGCTCTGGGTGCAGCCCAGCACACGGGTGACTTTCTGGGCTGTGAGTGCACGTTGCTGGCTCACAGGCAGTTTTCCACTCACTGATACCCCCAAGTCCTTCTCCTTGGGGCTGCTCAACCCACTCCTCGCCCATCCTGGGTTTGTGCTGGGGATTGCCCTGGCCCATGGGCAGGACCTTGCCCTTGGCCTTGCTGAACTCCATGAGGTTCTCAGGGCCCCACCTCTCCAGCCTGTCCAGGTCCCTCTGGGTGGCACATCCCTTCCCTCCAGCACGTCAACTGCACCACACAGCTCGGTGTCATCAGGGAACTTGCTGAGGGCGCCTCGATCCCACTGTCCATGTCCCCAACAAAGATGTTAAACAGGGCCAGTCCAACCCTGACCCCTGAGGAACGTCACTCGTCATCGCTCTCCACTTGGACATTGACCTGTTGACCACGACTCTTTGAATGCGACCATCCAGCTAATTCCTTCTCCACCGAGTGGTCCATCCATCCACTCCATGTCTCTCCAGTTTAGACACAAGGTTGTGCAGGACAGAGCCAAATGCTTTGCACAAGTCCAAGTGGATGACGTCAGTTGCTCTTCCCTTACCCACCAACTCTGTAATCCCATCGCAGAAAGCCACCAAATTTGTCAGGCACCATTTGCCCTTAGTGAAGCCATACTGGCTGTCACCAGTCACCTCCATATTTTCCATGTGCCCCAGCAGAGTTTCCAGGGCGATCCGCTCCATGACCTTGCCAGGCACAGAGGTGAGACTGACTGGCCTGTAGTTCTCCGGGTCTTTCTTTTTTCCTTTTTTTAAAATGAGGGTTATGTTTCCCATTTTCCATTCAGTGGGAACTTCATCAGACTGCCACGAGTTCTCAACCGTGATGGGTACACTTCAACCACCAGTTCCCTTCGGACCTGTGGATGCATCTCATTGGGTCCCATGGACTTGTGCACCTTGAGGTTCTTTAGATGGTCTTGAACCTGATCTCCTGTGGCGGGTGGTACTTCATTCTCCCAGTCTTCACCAGCCACTGAGGCAAAAAAGTTGTTGAGTACCTCAGCCTTCTCCATATTCCGGGCAACCAAGTCTTCTGGAGAGGGCCCGCATTTCCCTAGTCTTCCTTTTACCACATAAACAATGACAAAGAAAAATATTGCACTTTTGAATGAGGTTTAGATATAGGAAATCAATAAATGAAATTTTTGAGGTGTATTTATGAAATCACCCTTTTCTTGGGAAAAAAAAAAAAAAAAGCAAGCAACAGAAAGGGGTGAAGATGCAACTGCCTTGTGCCACGCAGCAGTTTTAATGGAAGGCGGCAGCCAGGAGTAGGATCTTCTATCCTCTGCTAGAAGAAATTAACAGAAGAATCAAACAGAAAACTAAGACTAACAGGGTGAAAGCAAAATCAGTTCAGTTTCAAATGGATTACCCAAATGATTTGGGGTAATTAGAACAGGCTGAAAGACCAAGCTATAATCTCAAAACCTCTGGAAGTTGTTACACGCCATCTGTGTGGATTAATTGACCAAACAAGCTCTCTGCCTTGAAATTACTCGTGCAATGATCATTTTGGTCTACTCGTAAAGTAGATCATAAGTGTCCCATTACTGTCTTCTTCCACTGCCATCTCTAAAAGCCCCTGTTAACTTTAGGGGGGCTAAAATACCTCTCTGACTATTTACATGCCCTAAAATGAGAATCACTTGAAAGTAAGACTTTCAATAAAACACATAAATAAACCATAACATTCAACAAATCAGTAAATCTCAACATCTAGCCTCAACATCCTCTTTAAATAGATTTCTAAATTACTATTTTTAACCAGGCTTTACAGAAAAGAAAAAATAAACAAAACCAGATACAGGGAGATCAAGCTTACACTACGGGCAAGGCTGGAGTTCCAAAACTGAAATCAGAACAACTTCAGAGCTCTAACAAGAATGTCGTATGCCACCGAATTAAAATACTGCATATTATCACCATTCATTCAGTACGATGGCTGCAGTTCAGCGGCCGAAGGAAAGCAAAAATAACCCCATCTCCTCAAAAGTGCGATCCCTTCAAAGCGAAAACAAAACACACCACCTTGGTTTTAACATGGGGTAAAACTTAGCAGTAGGTAGGATAGTTTGAATTATCTGATCTTTCAACTAATGGGAGGGGTTTTGGGCACTTATTCAACTTGTGACTTTTTGTTTCTTAACAGAAATTACTGTATTCTAGCTTAAAATCTTGACTCAGAAGCATCTATTGGAATGATGTGGAGGTCACTCAATGTGGTGATAAAGGAACGTCATCACGTTTAGACAACTTTAAGCCAGTTGCTTCTTTCCAGACAAGAAACACTTACTTGCCCACTGTTCCTAACGCTTTAAGAGATGCATTATGCTGGAGAAAAGGGACTGAAGGAGCAATAGAGTAAGTAAAAGTAAACTAAAGGTGTTTAAACACAGAGCATTAAGCAGCACACCAATTTTGTGTATTAAGGTGAAAGTTTAGCACCCATCAGGCTAAGGGATAATGTGGATATACAATACTCCTCGCTACATTCTCCCAGTGTTCCTCCGATTCTTAATTTCTCTTTAATATTCCACTTTGGTGATGTTACTGTGCGCTGAAAAGAACTAGATTATCAAACTCTTTTTTAGTTATTTCTTAATGAAAACTTGAAACCAAGACTGCTAGAGGAGGAAAAAAAACCAACCCACCCAACCCAAAGATATATCTATTGTATTAACTGTCTCTATTATTTAATGTACTTTTTTCCTCCATGAGGCCACTTGTGGTTTATCCATTAAGGTACTTAACACTGCTACTAGGACAATTAAAATGACAAAAAAACTTCTGGAAGTTTCCAAGCAAAAGCCAAAGGATCATCATATTTTGGAGAACTATGTCAGGATGAGCATTTGAAGTTATGTAAGGATTTAAGAATAGAAATGATGTTCTCTATTAAGCATTTGGATGCATAAAATATTCCCAAAGCATTTTAACTTTTAAAGAAAGAAGTGTCAACGAGATTACATTATATAGAAGCAAAAATGAAGATCAGGATTTGAAGGACGCCACGAGGAACTTTGCTGTTGAAAGAGCGAGTTCTCCGGTGCCTCTCGGTACGTGAAAGCACGGCACAGCTGATGGGTTTTGGGTTTTTTTTTTTTGCTTTTCCGTGAGCGGGGCAGGCAGAAAGGCGGCTATTACATAAGGTAGCTCAGCTTTGCCTTCAGGGGCTGGCTCAGAGAGTGCTGAAACCAAGTTGAAGGCTGTTGAGGGAACTCCACGAAGTTGAATGGCTGAAGGAAGAGCCAGCCTCTCCTCAGGACTGGCTACAGCCCAGACCCCGCGAAGAAAGAAGGGCTGGCGGCCCCGCCGCACTCCTCCTCCAGCGCCGGGCGGGCCCAGGGTCGCGCCGCCGGGCCGGCCCCCCCCT